TACCCGGGTACGAATAGTGGCAGCCCTCGAGGCAATGTTGCGTTAAAAAAAAATTAGTGCATAGGATACAATGTATTTCTACCTTATAGTTATACATATATAGTGCTTTATTGTACAATTTATTAACAATACGCAAAGGTGTACAAGAGTTTGATGACTTAAAGATGTACAAGAGTTTGCTGACTTAAAGATGTACAAGAGTTTGCTGACTTAAAGATGTACAAGAGTCTGCTAACTTAAAGATGTACAAGAGTCTGATGACTTAAATATGTACAAGAGTCTGATGACTTAAAGATGTACACGAGTTTGCTGAATTAAAGCTGTACAAGAGGCTGATGACTTAAAGATATACAAGAGTATGTTGAATTAAAGATGTACAAGAGTCTGATGGCGAAAAAGATATGCAAGGGTCTGATAACTTAAGGTGTACACGAGTCTGAAGGCTTAACGGTGTAAAAGAGTCTGCCTTTGAAAATAGAGCACAAATCAAATCATTTTAAAAAATATGATGCATCCACATGTTATGTACATATCGAGGGAAGGGCGGTGATCATATACAACTTGTATGTGGTGGAAGAACAGAGTATGGTATTAACATGTTCACGCATAAATTCAAAGTAAAAAAAAGAGATCAGTTTTTGCTTAAATTTACCAAATTTTAAATAATAATTTAACCCCCCCACCCCCCCCCATCCCCAATTTCCCCCCCCCCCTCGGGGCCACGATCTATTTGTAATATTTAAACACCGGTTTTATTGTGTGTAAGGCCCCGATCTTAAAGCTTTGTCTCTTGACCTGCAGGTGATCCAGATGTCTACCAGCACAGTCTCTTTGTCCTACTGACCAACACTAAGAAGAACGTCTGGTCGAACTTCAACTACCACCCGGTCAATATAACGGAGTTCAACTCATCGCTGCAGGTGAGTGACAACGAGGCGTGTGTATGACTCCTCACTCCAACAATTTTTGTTTGTTTGTTCACAACTCAAAACACTATTGTCTTATGCTGTCCTGGTGGCTTTCAAATGGCAATTGGGGGGGGGGGACATGCTTTATGCAAAGTCTCTCTCTCTATCACACTCTCTCTCATTCTCTATCTCTCTCGTTCTCTCTCTCTCATCTCTATCTCTCTCGTTCTCTCTCTCCCTCTCGTTCTTTCTTTCCCTCCCTGTCCCCATCTCTCCCCCCCCTCTCTCTCTCGTCGTCTTTTTCTCCCTCCCTCGCCCTTTCTCTTAAAATTACAATTATTTTATTGAACCGAACATTCAGTTTTCGACAGGTTCTCCATTACCCTATTAAAAGCCTTTGTTTTGTTAATGTATAGAGGTCGATAGTAAATGGCTTCTACAAAATGGTTCACCACTCTAAAAAGTTTGGGAATTTGTGGGCTTGCCAGTTAGTTCAGTTTAAGTCACAGCTGCCAGAGTAGAAACGGGGCAAGTTTAAAAAAAAACAAGATTTGAAAATGTCTAAAATCCAATTAGGTCCATTATTTTTTTAAATAATTTTTTTCCGTTTGGGTGGGGGGGGGAATACCCCATACATGTCTCTTTGTCTAGCCTTGTGTGTCATGTGCCAATATCCTAGGTCCTATTTCTTTCAGGTAGTCCTAGATCCCCTGGAGTCCATGTCTGAGTACTACGTGTACATGAAGTACGGGGACAGGCCCAACCTGACGCACTACGACCACATTGGCTACAGCCCTAACGGTGACGCCGCCCGCGTCAGTGGATTTGACGCACTCAACGACACACAAAAACAGCAACTCAGGTGACCCACCCCCCACCCACCCCACCCCTCAATCGTTCCAAATGTCTTAGATAATGTGCCGACAATGGCTTATAGAAAAGACAAGTTAACTATAAGGCGACGTCCATAGAGTACGTCACGTTATTTATTGGACAATTTTTACCCCCCCCCCCCAACCCACCGTCACAATCTGTCACAAATCTCAGACTTTCGAACCAAACAATTATTGAAACGATTAACAACTAATTAAAATTTAATCTAAAAACACACTTCACTATTAAATTGATAAAAGTGACACCATGTGTCAGAATGCCTCCATCACAACAGAAAGTTTCAACATCACTGTCAGTATAAAAGTGACACCATCTGTCAGAATGCCTCCATCACAACAGAAAGTTTCAACATCACTGTCAGTATAAAAGTGACACCATCTGTCAGAATGCCTCCATCACAACAGAAAGTTTCAACATCACTGTCAGTATAAAAGTGACACCATCTGTCAGAATGCCTCCATCACAACAGAAAGTTTCAACATCACTGTCAGTATAAAAGTGACACCATCTGTCAGAATGCCTCCATCACAACAGAAAGTTTCAACATCACTGTCAGTATAAAAGTGACACCATCTGTCAGAATGCCTCCATCACAACAGAAAGTTTCAACATCACTGTCAGTATAAAAGTGACACCATCTGTCAGAATGCCTCCATCACAACAGAAAGTTTCAACATCACTGTCAGTATAAAAGTGACACCATCTGTCAGAATGCCTCCATCACAACAGAAAGTTTCAACATCACTGTCAGTATAAAAGTGACACCATCTGTCAGAATGCCTCCATCACAACAGAAAGTTTCAACATCACTGTCAGTATAAAAGTGACACCATCTGTCAGAATGCCTCCATCACAACAGAAAGTTTCAACATCACTGTCAGTATAAAAGTGACACCATCTGTCAGAATGCCTCCATCACAACAGAAAGTTTCAACATCACTGTCAGTATAAAAGTGACACGATCTGTCAGAATGCCTCCATCACAACAGAAAGTTTCAACATCACTGTCAGTATAAAAGTGACACCATCTGTCAGAATGCCTCCATCACAACAGAAAGTTTCAACATCACTGTCAGTATAAAAGTGACACCATCTGTCAGAATGCATCCATCACAACAGAAAGTTTCAACATCACTGTCAGTATAAAAGTGACACGATCTGTCAGAATGCATCCATCACAACAGAAAGTTTCAACATCACTGTCAGTATAAAAGTGACACGATCTGTCAGAATGCCTCCATCACAACAGAAAGTTTCAACATCACTGTCAGTATAAAAGTGACACCATCTGTCAGAATGCCTCCATCACAACAGAAAGTTTCAACATCACTGTCAGTATAAAAGTGACACCATCTGTCAGAATGCCTCCATCACAACAGAAAGTTTCAACATCACTGTCAGTATAAAAGTGACACCATCTGTCAGAATGCCTCCATCACAACAGAAAGTTTCAACATCACTGTCAGTATAAAAGTGACATCATCTGTCAATTTCAGGTTCTTTACGTATAACACCCCCCCCCCGTGTCACAAACTGTCACACTTTCTTAGACACCCCCCACCCGCTTTTTCGGAGCCCGATGTACTCCATGGACGGTCCCTAAAATATACAATGACTTTGTGACACTTACAATTTGAAACCTAGCTTTCCTGTGCGTCTCGTATACAACCTATAGCTTTAGGAGGTTGTGACTGCGACAGTTTCAAGACAGGCCTTTTGGTTTTTCGGACCAAAGATACATTAAAAAATTCTGTCTATAGACTTTTCAAAGGAAGATCAGTTGGAAGTCATGAAATTGTCACAACTAATTTATGTAATGGTCACGCGAGAATCATGTGACTGCTCAGTAATCATGTGACTGCTCAGTAATCATGTGACTGCTCAGTAATCATGTGACTGCTCAGTAATCATGTGACTGCTCAGTAATCATGTGACTGCTCAGTAACCATGTGACTGCTCAGTAACCACGTGACTGCTCAGTAACCATGTGACTGCTCAGTAACCATGTGACTGCTCAGTAACCATGTGACTGCTCAGTAACCATGTGACTGCTCAGTAACCATGTGACTGCTCAGTAACCATGTGACTGCTCAGTAATCATGTGACTGCTCAGTAACCATGTGACTGCTCAGTAATCATGTGACTGCTCAGTAATCATGTAATGACCTCTCTCTCCTCAGTCTCACTGTGACGTTTCCACTTGAGCTGACGTCAGGGAATGGAACCTACTGGATTGGTGTGCGATATAAAGGTGAGAAATGATACATAGTTCTTGTAATATTATTAATTAATTTCTTCTCATTCCAGTTGTTTTTGTTTTTTTTACTTTAATATTTATTAAACTTCTCAATACTTGTATTTGTCTTTTTATTTAAGAAAAATATATTTCGTCTTATTTGTTGGTTACAGATTTGTATTTTTACTTTATAGTTTAATGCATGTTAAAACTATTGTGACCGCTTTTTCGATTTCTTGACCTAGGAGACCAAAAGTTGAAAAGTGGAAAATATTAAAACTATCAACTTTGACTACAAGGGGGGGGGCATAACGGCCAAAAGTGGGGCAGGGGGCGCCTCCAAAAGTCACGCGGTGGCTTTTGTTGCGATGCCACTGATTTATGTCACTATTAAATATTTTTCCACTTGAAAACTTTGGGCAGCCGAGGCGTCCAGCGGTCTGCGGGACTCTGAGCACAGCTGACAAAACCTTAAACATTTACGTAGCTTTGGTAGGACGCAAATTTTGAAAGTAAAAGACATCGGTATTCAAACAAAGCATTTACTTGGGAATAAGGGTTTCCAAACTGGACCGGTTGTGGAAGGGACTGGTTGAGTATGTGTGTGTGATCGCTCCAGAGATTCGGGGGGCTCTAATGCTTGTCTTGTCCCGGGCGTTGGAAACCAACGCTACGCCCCTGCAAACATGAACTATTTTATTATCTATGACTATGACATGACAAATTGTGCACTAACATGTCCTCAATCGATCATGGTTCTGAATTATCTGTAGAGATTTGGGTGTTTTTACTTCGAGTAGTCATAGAAAGCGAGCACTCACTGCAGTGTTTGGCCACATCGTCTCATCGTAGTTCCTTGTTCAAGTACACATGGTCATACTGACCGATGAACCCGTTGTAATGCTGACCTTTGATCTCCAACAGGAGGAAACCTTCAGCTGGAGGAGACAACCGCTAACACGACGTATACTTTACTCAACCTGATTTCGGGTTGTCGTTACTGGGACGAGACAAATAACACTTGGTCTTCAGAGGGCTGTCGGGTAGGTTGCAGTCAGGAGGGTTGCCATCAGCTGTTGTCATTCATATGAACAGGTTGTCGGGTTTGTTGTAGTTTGGAGGCTTGTACAGATGTGTCTAGAGGGTTGGATACGAGGGCTGTTTATAGTAGGGCCTTGTGTAAAAGCTAATTACAGATCATGCTCAATTTCAATACACATTAAAGGGCATATACTCCACTTATATGAAAGTGTCCTTATTTCATGCCCATATACCCGTTTCAACAATTTTTTTAATATAATATTGTTTTCTTGTATATTACTATTTCCGCTCATATCCACTACTACGCCAGGTTGGACCGCTGACCACTAAATACAAGACCCAGTGTCTATGCAATCACCTGACGTCCTTTGGCACGGACTCTGTCGTGGCGCCCAACACAATCGACTTCAACAATGTGTGGGCCAAGTTCGCTAACCTGAGCGAGAATGCAGCAGTGTTTGCCACAGTCATCTCCCTTTGCGTCCTCTACGTCATATTGTTAATTGGTCTACGTCACATGGACAAGAAGGACTTGGTCAAGGTAGGCTACTCTCAGCGGCATAGCTAGGGTTAGTGTTGTCCGGGGGGGGGGGGGTGGTTCACGCTTTTTGCCACCCCCCCCTCCTGTCCAAGAAAAGGGCTCTGTGAATTTAATTGATATATAAGCCTATAGTTCAGGATATGGGCATTCATATAAATCTTTCAAAAGGAACATTTGTGTCTATTGCCTCAAGCCTTCAAACCCCTAGTGCATGATTTCCTCATCAACACCAGTAACAGAAACATTGCAAATCCCATCTACATGCATAGGAGCCAAAATGATCAATAAATTGATCGTGGGCCCTTAAGATATAGAAGAAGAAGAATATTGCATATATATTATTTGTTAAAGAGACCATAGACATTTGGACGATTCATATCAAATTATTATAATACCAAAATTGCAGAGTTAGCAAATTGATATTAAACCCATAATACACGACCCATGTCTGAATGTAAGTTAGGAACTAACATTGTTGTTTAAACAGATCATCAAATCATTGGAACCGCGTTGCATTTTCAGAACATGAAACGGCAACCCCCTTTTAAAAGGGATCTTGAAACTTTTAGCGCACTAATGAATTAATGAATTCTTTGTACACTAATATATATATATAAAAAAAAAATTTAAAAAAATATATATATATATATTTTTTTAACGATTTCACATTTTGGATACGAAATCTCACAATGTGAAAAAGTTACAAGATCAACAAATTATAACCCACTCTGTGAAGAAACTGGTTTATGAAGAAAAAAAAAATTGATGACTATTTCAGTGGGGTGCTGTCCCATTGGAGGATAATCTGCCGACGGACACATACCACTACCAGGTGACGGTGCAGACAGGCATGAAGAAGAATGCCGGCACGGACTCCCAGGTCAGGTTCATTGTGTCCGGAGAGGACGGTGACTCGGGAGTCAGGAGGCTGGCTGTCGCCGACGGTCACAGGAAGGTAAGCCATTCCAGAATTCATAGGTATTTCTGTAGAGGTAGTTCTGTAGAGGTATTTCAGTATAGGTATTTCAGTATAGGTATTTCAGTATAGGTATTTCTGTAGAGGTAGTTCTGTAGAGGTATTTCTGTAGAGGTATTTTAGTATTAGGTATTTTAGTATTAGGTATTTCAGTATAGGTATTTCAGTATAGGTATTTCTGAATAAGTATTTCAATATTGGTATTTCAGTTCATGTATTTCAGTAAAGGTATTTCAATATTGCTATTTCAGTTTATGTATTTCAGTATAGGTATTTCAGTAGCGGTATTTTAATATAGGTATTTCAATATGAGTACTTCAGATTAATTCTTTAAAATGCGACAAGAGGAGATTGGAGAAAGAATTTAATTGACGAAACATAGGAATTAAACACATTACTCGATAAACTGTCACACGTTATATTTAATCGCATGATGTGATGTCAAAAGTTACATTTAAACACATGATTATGATGTCAAAAGATGAATTTAAACACATGATATGATGTCAAAAGTTACATTTAAACACATGATTATGATGTCAAAAGATGAATTTAAACACATGATATGATGTCAAAAGATGAATTTAAACACATGATATGATGTCAAAAGATGAATTTAAACACATGATATGATGTCAAAAGATGAATTTAAACACATGATATGATGTCAAAAGATAATTTAAACACATGATATGATGTCAAAAGATGAATTTAAACACATGATATGATGTCAAAAGATGAATTTAAACACATGATATGATGTCAAAAGATGAATTTAAACACATGATATGATGTCAAAAGATGAATTTAAACACATGATATGATGTCAAAAGATGAATTTAAACTCATGCTATGATGTCAAAAGATGAATTTAAACACATGATATGATGTCAAAAGATACATTTTAGCACCAGTTATTTTTTAAAATCAAAAGTTACACGTAAGCACTGGATAGTTTATCACTATTCACCGTCAAATGAAAACGTGTAACATTAACACCCAAACCTCCTCCTCTCCCACTCCCCAGACTTTACCCAGGGGCTCCATCTACAACTATGTGATGAGCACCGAGTCGTGCCTTGGCGCCCTCACCTTCCTTAGGGTCTGGCACGACAACAGTGGCACGGGCAAGAGCCAGTCCTGGTATCTTGACCAGGTCCAGATCTGTGACTTGCAGACGAGTGACAGGTGGGCTACTTCTGATTTGGGAATGTCGCACAATAGATGGCACAGACATATGTGCTTAGACCAGTGGTTCTCAACCTCTTGGTCGCGACCCCTTTGGAGGTCGAACGACCCGTACACAGGGGTTGCCTAAGACCATAGGAAGACACGTATTTATGAGTCGCGACGAAAATAAATTTATGGTTGGGGGTCACCACAACATGAGGACCTGCATCAAAGGGTCGCGACATTAGGAAGTTTGAGAACCACTGGCTTATATTACGATGGATCTTGAGCAGCATAGCAGGACGGGTAGCATAAAACTTGAAGAATAATTAAGGGTTAAATCTTCTGGTTTGATTACGTCTGTGATGCAAAGTGCTTCTGAATGGTGTATCCATCCTATTTAGGTTCATCTTCTTGTGTGACCGCTGGCTGGCCGTGGAAGAGGACGACGGTATGGTTGACCGCATCCTGCCAGTGGCTGGACTTGAGGATCTCATTGCCTTTAAACAGCTGTTCTCATCGTCTGCCAGGAAAAAGCTGGCCAACGACCACTTGTGGGTGTCTGTCTTCTCTAGACCCACCCGAAGCAACTTTACCCGCGTGAGTGATATTTTTTCTTGACCTGTGTGAGTGATCTTTCCTTGACCCGCATGAGTGATATTTCCTAGACCCGCATGAGTGATATTTCCTTGACCCGCATGAGTGATCTTTCCTTGACCCGCATGAGTGATATTTCCTTGACCCGCATGAGTGATCTTTCCTTGACCCGCATGAGTGATCTTTTTTCTTGACCTGTGTGAGTGATCTTTCCTTGACCCGCATGAGTGATATCCTAGACCCGCATGAGTGATATTTCCTAAACCGCATGAGTGATCTTTCCTTGACCCGCATGAGTGATCTTTTTTCTTGACCTGTGTGAGGGATATTTCCTTGACCCGCATGAGTGATCTTTCCTTGACCCGCATGAGTGATATTTCCTAGACCCGCATGAGTGATATTTCCTTGACCCGCATGAGTGATATTTCCTTGACCCGCATGAGTGATATTTCCTAGACCCGCATGAGTGATATTTCCTAGACCCGCATGAGTGATATTTCCTTGACCCGCATGAGTGATATTTCCTTGACCCGCATGAGTGATATTACCTAGAACCTAGACCCGCATGTGTGATATTTCCTAGACCCGCATGAGTGATATTTCCTTGACCCGCATGAGTGATATTTCCTAGACCCGCATGAGTGATATTTCCTTGACCCGCATGAGTGATCTTTCCTTGACCCGCATGAGTGATCTTTTTTCTTGACCTGTGTGAGGGATCTTTCCTTGACCCGCATGAGTGATCTTTCCTTGACCCGCATGAGTGATATTTCCTTGACCCGCTTGAGTGACCTTTCCTTTACCCACGTGAGTGATCTTTTCTTGGTTAGCCTTAAAAAAAAAATTAAAATAGAAATGACGCAAATGTATATCTCGTCTCATAAGTCCATGTTCATAATTACAACGCACACTCTTACCACACAATTACTCGAGGCAAGTCTTGCTGCTACAGACCATTTTTTAAGGTACAACGAAAATCTCAAACAAGCATTTTCAAGGCTGAACAAGATATGTACGATGAATGTAAAAAAAAACATTTCTATTTATTTAGATCAATAGAAGTATCTTATCTATCTTATTTTTATGACAGGTATCTATGTGAAATAAATTGTTGACAAAAGTTATAATTTTAAAAAAAAAATAGTATCTAAGAGTAACTATATCACAGACTTCTCTTTCATGCCCCACGTGTTCTCAGGTCCAGCGTCTGTCTTGCTGCATGTCCCTCCTGTTCCTGACGATGATCACCAATGCCATGTGGTTCAAGGGGGCCGACACTCAGACAAATGTTGACGCCATTAAGCTGGGACCGTTCACATTTACATTGGCTCAGGTGACTGCTGATAAGACTATTATATAAGAAGCCATTCACATTTACATTGGCTCAGGTGACTGCTGATAAGACTATTACATAAGAAGCCATTCACATTTACATTGGCTCAGGTGACTGCTGATAAGACTATTATATAAGAAGCAGCCAATGTATATGCCTTAAGTTCTGAGTATTTAAAACAGTGATAGTGATTTTTGTATTGTTTGACGAAAATCGAACGAATTGAAATATGATAAAGCATATCAGCTTTCATGCTAGTATAAGTAATCTTTAATAGTTTAGTATCGTTTTAATACGCATTTAACAAAATAATAATTTTGTATGCAGTCCAGGGGCTTGAGAAAAAGGTTAGGTGGGCCTAATGATATTAGAAATAAAACATCTATACAGGAGATACCTTTTTTTTTTTTTTTTAAATGGAAAGTCTTATTTGTTGTTGAGCCTTCTCGTCTATGAGGGGCATCCACCGATCATCGTCGGCGTCTGCGGTTCCTCCAAGGGCATAGGCCACCTACGAGAGACCTCCAGGCATCTCTATCCTGGGCCAGCTTCTCCAGGATCTTCCATTCATGGCCAATTTTCTTGATGTCTGTCTCCAATTCTCGGCGCCAAGTGTTTCTTGGACGGCCTCTTTTCCGCTTACCCTTGATGTCTGTCTCCAATTCTCGGCGCCAAGTGTTTCTTGGACGGCCTCTTTTCCGCTTACCCTGTGGGTTCCATTTCAGGGCTTGCTTTGTTGTGTTAGAAGCAGGTTTTCTTAGTGTATGACCAATCCACCTCCACCGCTTCTGGAGAATCTCTTCCTCAATGGGCTTCTGCTTTGTCCGCTGCCACAGTTCCTGGTTGCTGATTTTGTCTGGCCAGTGAATTCCGAGAATCCTTCTTAGACAGTTGTTGATGAAGGACTGGAAGTCTTATTTACTATTTCCTAAATACGCTTTTCAAGGGCGTGACAACTTTAATTTTTCTTTTTAATTTAAGGATACAACATATCCAAACCTGATAAAAGTACATAGGTAAAAATTAGTAGATTTTGAGACTTCGCAATATCAGGTAACGAGTAACGCAATATGCCTTTGATTTTTATCCCGGGTAACACCGGGTCATATTTTCTAGTGTTAAAATTTTAAAAAAATTGTCCATCTTTGTCGTCAAGTTGTTCATCAGTTTTGCCAGTACGATCATCGTGTTCCCGCCAAGTTTTCTCATGATGACCTTTTTCCGGAAGTGCCGGCCCAAGAAGAATACCGTTTCTCAGCAGAATCAGCCCAATGTCAAGGACAGCCAGAAGTTTCGCTGGAGAAACATTACGTCATCAACGTCCATGCTGTGGGGACCAACACCTGAAAAAAGCAGGTCAAGGTCTTCATAAATATACCCTGAAACCAAAAACATCTGTTTACATGAGACCAAAGATATCTAGGATTATGGGACCATATAAATATGGCTTACGTTGGAATAAATCAATATAAATATACAGAGATACAAATACGGGGACCAAATATATCTGAGATTTGTGAGACTCAATATATCTAGAATGCATGTGGCAAAAGATATTCTATGTTTGGGACCAAATATCTCTGGTATACATGGAATCAAATATATCTTGGATACATGGGAACACATATATCTTGGATACATGGATGTGACCACATATATCTGGGATACATGGGATCAAACATATATCAAAGTTTTGTTAGATAAGACAACAATTCATGGCAGACAAAATTATAAAAATATCACATTAATTTCAAAGCCCCAAAACTTATCCACGAGTCATAGCATATATCATAATGGTTGGTCAATAACTGCCCTCAACTTATCCTCGAGATCGAATTATAGAAGAGTATTTACAGTAATCAAATAGGATACTTTTTTTAAAAAGGTTTTCCATTATTTTTATTTAAAATCGGAAGAGCTTTGCCCATTTTAATTCGATCTCAACGTTGCACTGATGTTTATGTGTGTGTGCGTAGATTCGGTAAACTAAAAGACAGGATCAGCACCTACCTGAGTTCTTTCAAGACAGCTAAGTATGAGGACCAGGATGAGCCAGCCCCTGACCGCCATGACAGTCTCAACTTCCTCAAGCCGAAAAAGAAAAAACCTTGGACATTGCCTCACTGGTGTGTGTACGTAGCCTGGACGTGTAAGTAGTTGGGCGTAAGTTTAGCCTGGACGTGTAAATAGTTGTGCGTAACTTAGCCTGGACCTGTAAGTAGTTGTGCGTAACTTAGCCTGGACGTGTAAGTAGTTGGGCGTAACTTTAGCCTGGACATGTAAGTAGTTGGGCGTAACTTAGCCTGGACCTGTAAGTAGTTGTGCGTAACTTAGCCTAGACGTGTAAGTAGTTGGGCGTAACTTTAGCCTGGACCTGTAAATAGTTGTGCGTAACTTAGCCTGGACGTGTAAGTAGTTGAGCGTAACTTTAGCCTGGACCTGTAAGTGGTTGAACGTAACCTAGCCTGGACGTGTAAGTAGTTGGGCGTAACTTAGCCTGGACGTGTAAGTAGTTGTGTGTAACTTAGCCTGGACGTGTAAGTAGTTGGGCGTAACCTAGCCTGGACGCGTAAATATTTGGGCCTTAACCTAGTTTGGACGTGTAAGTAGTTGGGCGTAATCTAGCTTTGGGCGTGTAAGTAGTTGGGCGTAACCTAGTCTGGACATGTAATTACTTTGGCGTAATTTAGACCTTCATGGTTCAACGTATTTCTATTTTATATCTTAAGTGTCTTTCTAGCCCTCGCGACTTTACTTGACCAGACTGTTCATTAATCTTAAATCTTTCTGAATCAAAAGGTAAAAAAATTTTCTTAATTTTTAAAGCCAACTGTTATTTCAAAATTAATTTTTTAATATTATTATTTTTTTATTTGAAAGCTCTTAAATGTATTTAATTATCGTAGATGTCCCAAATGATATTTTTTTGTTTTCCCCCATCTGCAGTATGTTTCTTTAGCATCTTGGCTTCTGGTTTCTTCACAATCCTATACAGCATGGAATGGGGAAAAGAGAAGGCTAATGAGTGGCTGACTACGTTTCTCCTCTCGTTTGTACAGTCCGTCATCATCGTGCAGCCAATCAAAGTGAGCCGCTATACATCCTCAGCACTTCCGTTATGTCCTTTCTTGGTGCATACATCCTCAGCACTTCCGTTATGTCCTTTCTTGGTGCATACATCCTCAGCACTTCCGTTATGTCCTTTCTTGGTGCATGCATCCTCAGCTCTTCCGTTATGTCCTTTCTTGGTCCATACATCCTCAGCACTTCCTTTATGTCCTTACTTGGTGCATACATCCTCAGCACTTCCGTTATGTCCTTTCTTGGTGCATACATCCTCAGCACTTCCGTTATGTACTTTCTTGGTGCATACATCCTCAGCACTTCCTTTATGTCCTTCTTGGTGCATACATCCTCAGCACTTCTGTTATGTCCTTTCTTGGTGCATACATCCTCAGCACTTCCGTTATGTCCTTTCTTGGTTCATACATCCTATCCGACCACTGGCAGACCGCCAATCACTCACACATCACTGGCAGACCGCCAACCACTCGCACACCACTTGCAGACCGCCAACCAATGACACACCACAGGTAGACCAGCAACCACTCACAGACCACTGGCAGACCACCAACCACTCACACACCACTGGTAGACCGCCAACCACTCGCATACCACTGGAAGACCGCCAACCAATCACACACCACTGGCAGACCACCAACCACTCACAGGTCACTGGCTGACCACCAACCACTCACACACCACTGGTAGACCGCCAACCACTCGCATACCACTGGCAGACCGCCAACCACTCACACACCACTGGCAGACCACCAACCACTCACAGGCCACTGGCTGACCACCAACCACTCACAGACCACTGGCAGACCACCAACCACCCACAGATCACTGGCAGACCACCAATCACTGGTAGACCGCCAACCACTCGCATACCACTGGTAGACCGCCAACCAATCACACACCACTGGCAGACCACCAACCACTCACAGGCCACTGGCTGACCACCAACCACTCACAGACCACTGGCAGACCACCAACCACTCACAGACCACTGGCAGACCACCAACCACTCACAGACCACTGGCAGACCACCAACCACCCACAGACCACTGGCAGACCACCAACCACTCACAGGTCACTGGCTGACCACCAACCACTCACACACCACTGGTAGACCGCCAACCACTCGCATACCACTGGTAGACCGCCAACCAATCACACACCACTGGCAGACCACCAACCACTCACAGGTCACTGGCTGACCACCAACCACTCACAGACCACTGGCAGACCACCAACCACTCACAGGTCACTGGCTGACCACCAACCACTCACAGACCACTGGCAGACCACCAACCATTCACATACCACTGGCAGACCACCAACCACTCACAGATTACTGACAGACCACCAACCACCCACAGGCCACTGGAAGACCACCAACCACTCACAGGCCACTGGCAGACCGCCAACCACTCAAAGACCACTGACAGACCCCCAAACACCCACAGGCCACTGGGAGCCCGTAGACACCAGTCAGACCAAATACCCTCTAAGACCACCCTTTACTGTTATTTGTAATTAAAAAAAAATATATAACTCAATACCGCCAGTAAGTCCAGTGCTAATGTTGTTTTGGAAAAAGTTTATGTCAGTTATAAGATTTTCTAAAAGTGCACATGTTGTTGCCTCCACTCCCCCACCCCGGGTCATCACAGGTGTTGCTCCTCGTTGCATTCATTGCCTGCATCCTCAAAAAACCTGACCTGGAAGATGAAGATTTAGATGAAGATATCAACAGAGTTCTGGCCAATGGAGACAAGTCAGACACAGCTAGAGATGAGACAAGTCTATCACGTAATTCTTAAAGTGTGGATTTAGATAAAATTTGGTTAAATATAAATAATGAA